GGTGGGGAGAGATTAACCTAAGAATTTATATGCATATATGCATAACCCAGACAATAGTGTGGTGAAGGCCTGGGGGGAGGGGTGTAGAGTGAAGGGGGTCAATGGGGGGTGGAGGAAAGGAGACATTTGTAATACTTTCCACAATAAATATAAATTTTAAAAAAAGTAAGAAAGTATTTGGCAATCCAGCTGTAGTGATATTAAAAATACAAAGCTGCAATCATTAAAATACAGTGGTACTGCCCTGGCTGGTGTGGCTCAGTTTTTGGGCATTATCCCATGCACCAAAAGCTTGCTAGTTCAATTTCCAGTCAGGGCACATGCCAGGGTTTTGTGCTAGATCCCCTGTCGGGGGTGTGCAGGAGGCAGGCAGCTGATTGATGTGCTCTCACATCGATGTTTCTCTGTCTCTCTGTCTCCTTTCCTCTCTCTCTAAAAATCAATGAAAATATTTTTTAAAAAATACTATAAATGAATAGACATAATATCAATGGAACTAATGAGAAACTCCAGAAATTAACCCAAATATTATTTTTCAATAAATGGTGGGGAATACTTGGGTAATATTTAAAAAAAAAAATTATATTCCTATATCTGTCTTTATACCAGAGAAGTTCCAGATGAATTAAACATTTTAATGTGGAAAATAAACTCATAAAAGTGCTAGAAGAATGTGTGAGAAATTCTAAAAAATAATCTCAGGATATGAAGTGTATTTTAAAGTATACAAAATCTGGAAGCAAGAGAGAAAATATATGGACATTTTGATGCTATATAAGGCAAAGTAGTCTCTAAATAAAGTCAAAGGACAATTGAAAAAATGGGGAAAATATTTGTAACTCCTATTAAAGGGCTTTACAATTCAACAAAGGTAATGACCAACAATCCATCCAAAAATTAAGAAAGAATTAGACCAGAGAGTTCACAGAGAGGAAATACAAATGAGTATGACACATGCGAAATGAGAGTCAACTTCCCTCCTAACAAGAAAATTAGTATTTAATGTCACAGTTATACATCCATTTTTGGAGAGAAAAAAAAAGTATAAAAGGACACCTATATTTTCAATCTTGTCATGTATCTGTGCTCTAATCTCACCTTTCTTTGAGAAGTTGTTTTATTGATGACTTTCAATAATTATGTGAAGGTAGGTATAAATGGTTTTCCTCATTGCTCTAGGCTTGGCACCAGGCCTATGATCTGGATCATAAACACATATGTTTGATAAATTAGGAAAAAACAAAGTTAATAGTGTGAATGACAAAGGGGTTATGTAATAAACATGACCAACTCAAGGGCTACTTTGGAGGCCTGACAAGCTCAGTGACCATAAGTAGCCACAGGATGGTCTGATTATAAATTCCTGGATGAATGGATCATGACAGGTAGTCATTTCCCAGGCTAAGAGCTTCCCTAGCAAAGATCAGTCTTACCTTATCTGAGCTCTGTTCATTGTCCTTATGCATCTAAGATAATATACCTTAGAAATTTCAGAGTAATCTTCATTTTCAGGCCCTTAAAGGCACAACCACTGGCACCAGAAGACAAGACCACAAAGTTCCTCAGTATTGTTTGGTTGCCCACATATCATCTCCATATACTCTTGAAGTTAAACATTAACTACAGTGTACCCACCAGTGTAAAAAAAGTATGTATCTTTCTATTTTGCTTTTTATCTAATCCTAGAGATTTCCCCACTTTGCTTTCTTTCACCTTCTTAATCTACTACCAATGGATTTCATGTAATCTTTTTTATGATTTCTCCTTTTATTCTAATGTATAAAACAAACTGCAAAATTACCATTCTCTGAAACAATTTCTCAATCCATTGAGATCTTGCTTCTGTGGGCATGTTCTCATAACTTTGGCTCAAATGAACTCCTATAACATTTTTCTATAGATTTGGCTGATCTTTCATCAATAATAACAATAAAAACTAAGAACCTCTTTAAAGACTTCTTGAAGTAGGATTACCTGGAGAAAATAAAGTATGCCACTCTCCCTTTTCAGCTACAGTGAATCCTCACAGCAGTCACCTTCATACACACATTTCCTGTCTGCTGGAATAACTTTTTTGAGCAGTGCTGACCATTTCACAAGAGAGAAAATAAAAAAGAAACAAGTTAGAGAGAAAAAATCTATGAAGACAAAAGGTGTAAAATAATAAAATTCAAAAGAGAAAAGTAAATATATAAATGTACCACAACCCAAAATGTAAGAATGAGGGTAAAAGTATAATATAATGCTGAGAGTTAAAAGCAGAAAACAGCCCAGAACACTAATCAAGAAGATTGTTATAGCAAATATTATGTGTCAACTTGATCGTGCCAATGGATAACCAGATAGTTAGTAAAATGTGATTTCTGTGAGGGTGTTTCCAGAAGAGATTAGCATTTGAATCAGTGGACTGAGTAAAGAAGACCGCTCTCACCAATGCTGGTGGGCATCATCCAGTCCACTGAGGGCCTGTGTAGAACAATAAAGTAAAGATAAGAATAATGTGTTCTCTTGCTTGAGCTGGAACACCAATTTCCTGACTTTGAACATCTGTGCTCCGGGTTCCAGGGCCCTCAGACTAAGACTAGGACTTAATTCATTGACTTCCTCCCAACTTTTGATTTGAACTGGAACTACACCAACTTACCTGGGCATCCGGCTTGCACACCAATGCTCTTGGGACTTCTCAACCTCCATAATTGCTAGAGCCAATCCCTCATAATAAGTCTCTTTCTGCATATCTCTATGTATATTATTGGTTCTGTTTCTCTGGAGAACCACAACTAATACAAAGATTAACAAAGTAAGACAAAAACATTTAGAGCACAAAATAAGAGATTCCAAGATGGCAGCAGATTGAGTGGAAACTCCACTGACACTCTCCCAGGACCACAGTGGAATTACAACTAAAATATAGAAAAACCATCCTGAAAAATCAACTGCAACTGAAGATGAGCTGGAGAGCACCCTCATAACCAAGGACGTAAAGTGGAGACTGCACAGAGACTGGTAGGAAGTGAGGGGGTGCGAGAGGGCTGGCTGGGCTCCCACAAGCAGCAGCTGAAGGTCCATAAGGATATCTCAGCTCTAGGGGGTTCCCACTGAGAACTCTGGGGTCTAAATCCCAGGCTGGGCTTCCCAGCCCAGAGCACCAGAACTGAGAAAGATGCTCACATAACATCTGGCTGTAGAAAAGAACCAGGTTTCTGTCTGCCAGGGAGAGATGGCTAAAAATGCAGGCACACTCTTAAAGGGCCGATGTACAAAGTTTTGTGTGCAGACACTCACATTGAGCTGCAGCAGAGGGAGGGCAGAGTGGACCAGAGAGGTGTAAGAAGAATCTGGGCTTTGGGGCTCTGGAGACAGAGCTCAGAGGTAACTTCTGTGCTGAGTCATTCCCTCAGACTGCAGAGGACATCTATATCAGGCAGACTTTTGCCAGTCAGGCAGTTTTCGGATGGAGGGAAGCAATTGCCCTACCCACTGGAAAACCTCTTGTCTCACCCTGTGGAGTTTACCCATTTCTTGAGGCTCATTAAGAGACTAAGATCAATCAGCCTGCAGGCAAAGGCAGACCTCTGGGAGCTTTGAGTCTTTGCCTGATCTGCTTCTGGACCAGGGCCTTGGAAAAGCAGACTTTGGAATGCATCTTGGTCCTGTCCAAATGCACCCAGCCCCAACAGAAGGAATAACATGCCATCCCAGCAGAGGGAACCACAAGCTGCGGGATGTTGATAGCTCCAAACAGGGTACTCAAGGCCAGTCACAAAGAATGTCTAATATTGGCCTGCACCAGAGACTCTCCAAAAAGACTGAGTGTCCTAGCAGATCCACCTAATACATAGAAACAACCCAAATAGGCAGCCAAAATGGGGAGACAAAAAAATAAGCTCTAAATGAAAGAACAAGAAAAGTCTCCAGAAAAACAGCTAGATGAAGAGGAGATAGGTGATCTATCAGATATGAAGTTTAGAATACTGATGGTAAGGATGTTCAACAGCATGAGAAAAGATATGCAAACTATGAAAAATGACCAGTCAGAAATGAGGAATGACATAGCAGAAATAAAGATTACTTTTGAAGGAATAAATAGCAGATTAGAGGAAGCTGAGGACTGGATTAGTGAATTAGAAGACAAGGTAAAAAAAATCACTCAATCAGAGATCCAAAAAGAAAAAATAATTAAAAAACAGGAGAACAGTTTAAGGGAGCTGTGAGACAACATGAAATGCGACATTATTTGCATTATAAGAGTGCCAGAAGGGGAAGAGAACAAACAAAGGATGCAGAATTTGTTTGAAGAACTAATGGCAGAAAACTTCCTTAACCTGGTGAAGGAATAAATCACATAAGTTCAGGAGGCACCAAGAGTCCCAAACAAGAAGAACCTAAACAGGCCCACACCCAGACACATCATAATTAAAATGTCAAAAATTCAAGACAAAGAGAATCTTAAAGGCAGCAAGAGAAAAGTAATCTGTTACCTACATCGGAGCTCCCATAAGAGTGTCAGCTGACTTCTCATCAGAAACTCTAAAGGCCAGAAGGGAATGGCATGAAGTATTCAAGGTAATGCAAAACAAGGATCTGAAACCAAGGCTACTCTATCCAGCAAAGATATCATTCAAAATAGATGGTGAAATAAAGCGCTTCCTAGACAAAAAAAAAAAAAAAAAAAGACTAAAGGAGTTTATCACCACCAAACCAGCACTGCAAAAAATGTTAAAGGGACTGCTGTAATAATAAGAAATAGAGAGAATGAGAAACATAGGCATAAAGAATTAAAGTGACAATAAATAACAACCTATTAATAATAACCTTAAGGACTTTAAGGGAGAGATCAACAGCAATACAGTCATAGTCAGGGACTTTAACAACCCCTTGACTCCACTGGATAGACCTAAAAAAGTCAACACAGAAACAGTGACTCTAACCATCACACTAGATCAGATGGATTTAACTGACATTTACAGAACATTCCACCCCAAAGCTGCAGAATATACATTCTTCTCAAGTGCACATGGGTTATTCTCAAAGTCAGACTACATGTTAGGACAGAAAACAAGTCTCTAAATTCAAGAAGTTGGAAATCATATCAAGCATCTCATATCATAACAGCATGAAATTAGAAATCAACTACAGTGAAAACACTCAAAAACATTCAAACACATGGAGGCTAAATAGCATGTTCTTAAACAATGAATGGGTTACCAATAAGATCAAGAAGGAAAATAAGCCCGGCCAGGCATGGCTCAGCAGTTGAGCGTGGACCTAGGATCCAGGCAATCGGGGTTCGATTCCCTGTCAGGGCACATGCCCAGGTTGCAGGCTTGATCCCCAGTCAGGGGCATGCAGGAGGCAGCTGATCAATGACCCTCTCATCATTGATGTTTCTATCTTTCTCTCTCCCTCTCTTTTCCTCTTTCTGAAATCAATAAAGATATATTAAAAAAACACACAACTTCTTGGAAACAAATGAAAATGAACAGACACCTTAAAATCTATGGGACCCAGTGAAAACAGTCCTAAGAAGGAAGTTGATAGCGCTACAAGTGTACCTCAAAAAGCAAGAAAAATTTTTAGTAAACTATCTAACCCTGCAACTTAAAGAATTAGGAAGCTCCCTTGTGAAGCCATCTGGACCAAGGCTTTTGTTTGCTGGGAGTTTTTTCATTACTGCTTCGATTCCATCAGTTGTTATTAGTCTATTCAGGTTTTCCAATTCTTCCTGATTCAGTTTTACATGGCCTCACTCATATGTGGAATCTAATAAACAAAATAGACTGAGGAGCAAAATAGATCCAGAGACACTGAAGCCTGGAATGGACTGATGAATCTCAGTGGGAAAGTGGAGGTGGGGGAGTGGGTGGGGAGAGATTAATCAAAGAGCTTACATGCATATATGCATCACTCATGGACACAGACAGTAGTGTGGTGAAGGCCTGGTGGGGAGTGCAGATAAGGTGTGGAGGGGATCAATGGGGGAAAAAAGGGGACATCTGTAGTACTTTCAACAATAAAGATAAATTTTTTTAAAAACCACAAAATGATTTAGATACATTTTTTTGTTTATTTAAATGTGTCTGTTCTCCCACTCAAATAACCACTAAAATAATCAAAGCTTTACAGTCTTCTCAAAGCTTCTTTCTGTCATTTACATCTGCATTCTATGTAGTTTCCACCACTTGTACATTTCACCTTTACAGCAAACTAAAACCTAGGCCATCTCTTCTAGTACTGGGCATCTCTGAGCAATAAGACCCCAGCTCTGGGCAGTGATATGTCTCAAACACATCACTAACCAGGTTATAAACCAGTTTCATGTTTGAATATAGATTTTTAAATCCTAAATAAAAAATTAACAAATTAAAACTTGAAACCAAGTGGCTCAAAAACGAAGATTTGTATTGGAAGATATCTATTAAATAACTGATCAATTTATTAAGTCCAAAAAAATCTGTATCATCATTTTAAATGTTGAACATCATGTATAAAATCCAATGTGTATTTGTGATCAGAAATCATTCATGTAAGAAGATGCACTTCATTAATGTGTAAAAATTGGTATGTACTTCAAACTCAGAGCCTTATTTATGTCATCGTATTTATGAATGTCTAGAATTTGCCCTTATTATAAGGAGAATAGTAGCGACCGCTCCTCTTTGCAAGCATAATACAGTCAACCGCTCCTCTTTGCAAGCATAATACAGTCTCCTTCTCCTCAGACTCAGTAAGGCTCTGGGCCTCAGGGAACCACTGCTACCAACAGGGTTGCAGTCAACCCCTAAAGTGTTTGGGGGCAGAGAAAGGGATAGAATTTGTGTAGAAGCGATCCTTTTAGATTCAGGAAAAAACCTGCTAAATATATTTTTACCATAGTCATTTAACATCACTAACATAGTAGAAACTGATAAAATCTTAAAGTACATTGTTGAGCATAAAAACTAAAGATGAAGAAGCACACATTGCTTTCTGCAGATGATAAAAATTTATGCCTGGAACACTCAAATCAAACCAACTAAACAACTATTAAAACTAATATAAGTGTTCTGGTCAATGTAGAAATAGCAATAGCTTTCAGAAATATGTCAAAAATAAAAATAAAAATATAGAAAAACTTGATTTATATGAACAGCATTTGTATGTGTATGTGTGCATGTAAATAAAACATGTTACTACAAGTCTAACAGACTAAGGCCATCTTCCCTCAAACTTAGTTTTATCCACCTATAAAATAAAGATAATACAAGAATTGTAGTGAGGATGAAAGAAAACACACCTGACTAGGTAGTCAATAAATGGCAACTATTATTAATATGCACTTAAGATTTCCAGAAATGAGGCTACATTAAAGTTGAAAACTTTTTATACTTTGCTTAGCATTTTTCATTTTATTAAACTACAAAAAATTATCATTAACATTTCTTTCTTTCTTTTTTTTTTTGGCTTAAACAGAAGACATTTATTTCTCAGTTTTAGAAGCTAGAGTCCAAGGTTAGGGGGTCAGCAAATTCAGTTCTTGGTGAGGGCTCTTTGACCAGATTGTAGACAACCTTTTTTTCCCCCCCTGTGTGCTTACATGGCCTTTCCTTGTTGTAAGCTCATGGAAAGAGAGAGCTCGAATGTCTCTTCTGTTTTTTTTAATCCTCACTTTTTTTTTTTTAATCCCTACCCGAGGATATATTTTCCATTGCTTT